AGCTTAAATTATCCCAAACAATAGATGGCAAGTTAAAATCACCTGTTAGCAAGACGTGTTTCCCACATAAACCTAGAAGTCGATCATATAATTTCATCAAAAACGTATCATCTGCATTGGGTGTACGGTAAAGAGCACAAAGAAAGAATGTAACATGGTCAAGCGATATTTTCAAAAATATGCTTTCATGATCAGCAATTTGATCGGCGAGACAGGCGTCAACGGAATCTTTTAGAATAACCGCCACGCCCCCACTACGAGAGCCTCTATCCCGCCTAAAAACCTGATATCCAGGCGGCACAATTTCGTTGTCACTTATCAGACCATGTAGCCAGGTTTCAGTATTGACGCAAATATGTGGGTCATATAAAAGAAGATTTTCAAGCTTATCGATTTTGTTAGCGAGGCTCCTAGCATTAAAAGATATCAAGCGAAGCTGGAACGTTGGGAATTGCTATGCCTTAGCGGGGTGCTTTTTAACCTTTGACAGCCTTTGACGGGAATTTGAAGAGTCGTTCCAACTGAAAAGGTCGGTACCAATACGGAGCTTATCTTCAACAAGAAATACATTTTTACCGGCATCTTTATCTGCCTTAGCTGACTGCCAAAGCAATTTACGTTTCCGACGCGTTTCCGCACAGTAGTCGTTTTCAATACTAATGTTGGAGCCCTTAAGTTTTGAAACGTTTTTCCAGATAGCCTGTTTTTCCCTGTAGTCTTGGAAATATAGAATTATCGGCCTGTAATCTTTATTGCGTCTAAGCCTGTGAATACGAGCGACAAAAGAGCAATTCACACCTAACTTATTCCCAAACAATTCATCAATAACCTTACGTCGCAGATCGGATTCAGTTTCATCCTGCGATTCAGCAATACCGAAAACTATCAAATTCGATCTGCGGGTGTAGTTTCCTAGGTCAATGAACTTCGCGCTCTGGGTTTGAACGGCCTCTTGAACAGTTTCAACGGTAGTGGTTAGTTTTCCATGGGTTTCGTTAACATTAGCTTCAAGGGCATTTAGGCGCACACCAAAACTCTCGATCGTTTTTTCAGTACCTTCAAGACGAGTTTTTAAATCGGCTATCTTTGCCTTGATTTCCCTCTGTTCATCCAGGATTGCCTGAAACATTTGTTCAACAGTAGGACCAGGATTTGATTCCACGTCCCCACAGAGAATAATTTTGCATGAACAGCAGCACTCATACGCAATAAGAAAGCAGATGCGTAGTTAACATATAGTCTTTCTTTACAGGAGATCAATAAAACTAATTTACAAGCCCTAGATGCGTTGATACGAACATCGTACAAGGTGGCTCTCGGCCTACCACTTGGAACGTCCACAGAATGTCTCCAAGCCCTCGGTATACACAATCATTATGAGGAGTTACGCACAGCGGTGCTCATTTCTCAACGGGATAGGCTTAGCTTGACCACTACTGGGAAAAAATTGCTATGCCGTGTAGGTTACCCAGCTTCATTTCAATAGGGTAACACCCCTTTGTTAAGTTTTGTTATTCCCCCACTGCACGTGTGAGTGCTGCTTTTCGCCAACCACGTCGACGGACTAATAGCCACCGAGATAATCATACCACTTTTCTATGCAACTAGACGCAGAACGCGAAAATTGCTGATTGTTCTGGAACAAACGTGATCGCTAGCAATAGCGCTGTAATATTCGATGACACATGTCTGAATTCCAACGCGCATCACCACTTCTTAGTTGGTCGACAGCCGACGCTGTGTTTGTCGCTATCATTAGCAGAGCGTATTACTGGCTTCGCGTCCACCGGCCACAAGTTCGGCCAAATAAACAGTTTATTCTTGAACATGCAGTTTGCTCCCTTCGTCGACGTCACCACACCGGGACAATATCAAGGGTGGAATTCCACCCAGCCAAACCAATGAAGCACCCGACAGCCGCTTGTGGACCCGGCCATGCTCTTCTCCAGTGATATCTTCGCACTTGGACAGATTAGGTGACTGAGGCGCCTCATTCAAGTCTACACTGTCACCGACCTAGTTTGCTGCCAATATGTTCCGCAATGAAGGTGACGCATGCTTGAGCTCTTTACTTCAGTCCCATTTCAGGATCCTGAAGATAACCCATCCATGGTTCGGTTGTCGACTTAAGGCTTTATATTGACCACCAGAATTCATTCCCTCAATCTAGACTAGCCTCTTTTGTTTCTTTTATTATCTTGCGGTTTATGGCTCTCATGTGGTCTTGAGCCAAAACTGACATCAATTTCTTCGCCCTCAAATAGCGAGCCCACAGGTCCTAGACCTCGGTTTCATAAGCACCACGCCGCAGTGGGAATGTCTGTTGTCGGCAGAGCCGCTTGCGTGAAGCTAGGGCAGCTCCCACGTCGTCCCACCAGGCTTTTCTTTTCTGCCTCAGTGGGCCTCTTGAGAGTCTCTGTTCAATGCACACTTTCCCAATCATGTTTTTAGGAAGGTTTTGAAGTAATGAAAAGTTTCCATGTGTTCCTGGTGTTTCTCTTTAGTACTTTCAGAAACGGGAGAGGCGAGTAGATCTTCACGTGAACGACTACACAAAAACGCTTGTTCGTGGAGCCCTCCGAAAAGGTAAAAATCACAGCATATGCACGGACTGAAGATGATGAGTCGGGCGAAGCGTCCGTCCGTCTGTAGGTATCTCCGTTCTCCGTACGTCCATCCATCCATCCATCCATCTGTCTGTCTGTCTGTCTGTCTGTCTGTCTGTCTGTCTTTCTGTCTGTCTGTTTGTTTGTCTGTTTGTTCGTCCGTGAACAATACGAAATAGTCAACTATACAAAAACTACTCACACCAACTATTGGCATTATTTCCTAGGACATGTACAGAAAATGCCATCTAATAATCAATTCATCAACTAGAGGTGGCTACACACTACTACTACTAGAACTACTACTGCTACTACTACTACTACAACTGCTACTACTACAGAGTAGGGAACGACCCACACCCTAAGAATATTTGCCCCTAAAACAGACGCAACGCGACACCTGCATCGCCGCAATAAAACCGCGTGTCAATCCCCTACATCGATGGCGACAGCGAAACAATACCACACGTACTAACAAAAAGCCGAGGTCAACATCGCACAAAAGGATCCACCGCCATCGGTAGCATCATTCCTCGGGTCAAAGATCACGCATCCGCCGGAAAATCTCAGGGCGTCGTATAGCGAATTTCGTGCGCCTACTACTCCGTTTCCTACATTAGGGAAAACAGAGCTTTCATGGAACAATGCAGCAGCACAGAAATGACCTCCGTCAAACTAACAGCTCAACTAAAAGATAATACCTTCTCCCCGACAGGGACCTTGGGGTGATGCGGAGCATCGGGGTTGCGAAGTGCGAGCATTTGATTTTTAAAGACGATAGTCTTTCTTGGGGTCCTTTGACGCAAAAACTTTCGTCTGTCAGTCTGAACAGTTGTCTGTTTGTCCCCTGTTACCGCCAACTGGGTACTTTAAACAGCACTAACCAATACCCCGCACAGCCAACCCCATCCGCAGTGACCACCAATGTTGCTCAAAAAGCAGCGTTCATGCGTGTGCGATTGTCAATTAAAAGGCTATTGTTGCGCATATCTGAGGCACCATAACAACAAGTACATATTCTGCATGTTCGCCTTTTACTAGAAAAGTCATACAGAAGTAATACTAAGGACTGTAGCGCTTCTCACGCTGCGCTGACCATCCAACACTTGCACGGAAAGGCGAGTATTTCCAATGCTTTGCTAAAGCGAGACGGTGGTGGCACCTACCCGTCGCCTTGCGTTCTACACCTTATCACTTATGAGGCGGGTGCGCACACCCATCTCAGAGCCACGCGCTTTGTTTTTGAAAAAAAAACAACTGCCAGATGGCGGTCATGTCTCACGTGTGACGTGACTTGATGCGCTCGTTCGCCTCCGCTCCACGCTCGAGGCACTCTAACGCAGCCCCACCAGAATACCATTCACCGATTTTCTTGAGCAGAACATCAAATAAATGTTTTGTTCACCTTCTCCACACGCAAGACTATCCTCTTTCGACGACATTTGCAGATTAAATGCAGATACGGGACCAATTTTTTTCAATTAAGAAACTCTCTAGCAGACGCTGCCTGCGTCGGTTTTGCGAGACGACGCGAGGTGAAAAGCATAGAGGAGAGGAAGGAGCGAGCAAAGGTTAGCAAACCCTTCCGGCATCGGCCTTGCGAGGCTGGAGAAGGAAGAGGGGGAGGGGACGCGCATGTGCAATGGGGAATCGAGCGCTTAGGTGGTAAGGCGCAGCTGTTGGAGAGAGGGAAGGAGGAGAGTTGCATACGCGTAGTGTGGGTGTGGACGCCGGAGGCGTGACATACCCGCGAGACAGATATGCTCCTAATCTAAAAGCAGAGCTAAAGATCACAACTATAAAGAGAAAACAAAAAGCGTTTTTGCAAGTGTGTCTACATTCTCGCCCTTGTTCAGACTGCGCGAGCAGTCTCACGTTGCCCTTCATCTTAATTACATGTTAACATTAGCAAGTTTTACTTCCTCATGAAAAGACACGTGCACGCTTTATAGCACGCCTTACTGGTTGACTGCGATGGAAGGACGAAGTTGTATCACTGCCCTTAGTTTTATTGAGGTGGCAATGTCACACCAGAACCAGCTTGAGATTCAGTCAGCGAATATTATTTCGCACGAGCTCTTGGGATAGCGGTATCTTGTATATTATACGCGATACTTTATTGAGTGTATCGGAAATGCAGGCACAGATACTCGTACTGCGAGGCCTATCGCTATGAGATACTAAATACCGAAAGAGTATTTATGATAGTGTCTTGGATACATGTATTTTAATTACATCATAGCGCTGGGTGTGGAATAGGCTTAATTCGTGTAGCCTCCTATATAACGTGGCGCAAGACTGTGTTTTAGTCAACATCTCCGACAGATAAAAAAATCTTGTCGAAAGTAAAGTCTGCCAGAGCTAATACAACTTTGCTCCAAGAGTACTCCTTACCTGATCAAACCTGTTGACGTCGTTCGAAAGCAGGTTGACCATTTGCCCAACGGCTGTCTTTGACAGTGCTGCCTGGCTCAAACGCAGCGCCTGGAGGAACAAGAAAAAAAGTACACAATGTGCTTAGAGTATCCAAATGTTCGCGCCTTCAGCCGCTGCTATAGCGATAACTATGTGGCTTCTCTTGTGTGCCTTCTCTTTGTTTGTAACCATGCTTGCCCTTACCATGTTCGTTTCCGTGCCACATTATCTATTACCCTTTGATTACGCTCGAAACCAACGAGCTTGGAGGGTCCTCAAAATCCAAAGGCTGCGCATAAACAACTTGAAGGGTCCTCAAAATCCAATGGTTAGCGTTTTGTTGAAAACACAACGCTAACCATCGTGTCACATTTCCCAGGTACTGATTTTCGAAGTGAGGTCATTCGTGACCAAGTTTATATCACTCAGCATTCAAGCGGCCCCCTTTCTTCATTAAGATTGCCTATTGGCACGAATGGAGCCAAACGTGGTCATGAAATGGGAATCTTACAAATGTTCGACTACTCTCAAAGGTCCGTTCAGCATGCTCCAATATGCATTTAACCAAAACTTGTTATTTCGATAGATTTAGTATGTTTGCCGCATCAAACTTTTGTTGTTGGCAAGCACGTAAACCAACTTTGTAAAAGTTTTTTTGCAGGTTCATTTCCAGCTACTACAGTGTATGCATTAATAAGAACGTTGCGCGAGTGGAGAACGTTTGTGACCGCAATCACTACTGCTTTGCCAAGCATGACGACTATGTTTTCCAGGTGCGTAGAATCGCAGAAAGTATGAAGCGCTACCTATTCAACATTTGAGTAGTTCTTCGCAGCGCAGTGGAGCCCGAAGGGCCCCTTGGCAAATAGGTAGGTTGATGAGGCATGCATTCTTACGTTACGCGTCGCCTATCCAGCACATTCATGCCGTGCTTGCCATACGCGCTGACTGCTGTTAATAAGGCTTCATTATCATACAGAAGACAAAGAGGAATCATTATGCAAACTACGCTGAAATTACGCTGATGAGTGCCGCCTACAACGACATTCATAATGTAGATGTATGCAATTTTCAGCCACAGTGATGACCTATTCTTAACAAAATAAGGGATGCTCAATGTGTTTATCGCTGGATTGTGTGTAAGTTGGCTACTTTGTAATGCACTTTATTGAAAGACGTCAGAGCGCAAAAGTATGATGAGGTATTTAAAGACCACACAACCTCTCGTTGCGTACTGCTTTTATTTCGTGTTTTAATTGAACAAATTTCACGCAGCGCGATCGGCCAAAGGACACGAGAAGGCCCATGAAGACACCACAGCGTTACTACAACATGCCTGCTTAAAAAAAAAACGCTGCTTATGTAATGCCATCACCAATGAGGCACGAGGGATCTCTCAGATATATGCGCGAGAAAAGCTACTCTAGCTAAGTGAAATCAGGACATGGACATTACAACACATCTCTGAAACACACACATCTCTGAAGTGAGGATGCTATCGTTGGCTTGCTGACGCACAACTCGCCAAGTGCAGCGATAAGTTCGCTTCAACAACCAGACGGGTGAATTATTGTTTATATAATGACGCACAGTGACTGTGCTGTAAAACAAATACCGGCAACCACACGCAAGAACGTGAAGTACAAGAATCCTTTCAAGCGCCAGGTGTCTTGATTAGTAATTGTGCTCTCTCAATCGGTCATTCCCGCACCAGCTGGTTTGGCGTACATATTTTTTTCCACATGAGAGCGAAAGATAATAAATAACAAACCTCTTGCAATGAAAAAATGTGTTTTGCATGTTTTTTTGTATAACCCACTATTTTAGCTCGAAATTGAATTACCGTAGTCATGGTACAAAGTTTTTTAGCGTATTGGGCGCTGGAAAGATCACCATAACGTTATTACGAAGTGACGCGTTCACGAGATTATGTGACAGCTGTTCATTACGGTGGAGTGTCTCATATCTGCCGTCATTGCGCCAGGAGCGTGAAACTGCTGTGATCTTGCGTGAACTCTTTTCTACTGCTTGCGTAGAACAAGAGTTAGAAAATGCCATGGATAGCCATAATACATCAAGTGTTATATCTGGTTCCTATAGCTACTCTTCGTTCACAGCAGCGCAAGACTTGTTCGACGCGTTGCTGAGCAAGTTGTCGCGATACTTCTATTAGTCTGGCGTATGATAACGTGTTGTCTCACGTCGAGCCAGCATTGATGTTAGGTGAAAGACGTAAGTATTATCAAAACAAAGTGGACTTTATGGTGCGGTGATGTGACGACCATACGTTACTTTTGTTAGCGTGTTTCTGCTAGGACAAGCACTGTTGGATATAGCTTGCTGAATCATATGAAACAAAAGTGATGTTTTTATATTGCCGTAAGAGTGTAGCCAACACTGGAATCACAGTTGTTAACCCTACACACTAAACGAAAATGACCTGAAATAACCTCAAAAACTGGGTAAACCACTTGTCCTCTGGCGCACTACCTTTCCTGGGTTTTTTTACCACCTACTCTTGAGGTAAAAACTTACTCTCGTGCTCACTGAGTTTTTGAACGTAAGGAGAGTAGTAATTATTTACCCCAGTGAGGTTTTGAGCGAGTATATAGAGAGGAAAATTTTCACTGCCTTCACAAGGCTTTTGAGGGGATTTCAGAGAGTTATTTCAGGTGGTAAAAAATAAAAATTGATGGGTGCATTCGCCCAGAGTCGACAAATTTATTAAACAGCGGAATAGATTGAATTTATTAAACGGCAGAATTGGTGACACATAGATTCCCATACAGATAGACACTCACACACAACAAATGCAGATTAAAACACCACTCGAACAGACTGCACGCGTTGCTAAATTACACTTTGACAATCCGGTATATATAGGACCGACTTTTTTACCGGCCCTGTAGGACCAGTAGGAGAGCTTTTTTTTTGCATCGATAAACAAGAACAGTTGAAGGTGCAAGCGTAAACTTAAGGTGGGCTGCAGGGAACTAAATGTCACACCGACCCTTTATTGTAAATCTAGCCAATCTCGCCTTTTTGAGTATCCAATAATTCCTTGGCATACCGGGCTCATGGCCCCACACGTGTTAGCACGGCTGATGCACAAGTCCATGAAATATACCTAAGTACGCACAAACCATGGTAGCTCAATGATTTTCATTGAGCGACGGTGCACAAACACAGTAGCAGCACGTATTCATCACAACGGGCGTAGGGGAGCGGTGCACGCCTGCACACAAGCTCCTTATCGACGGCTCACTAGGCCTTTTTGAGGAGCACGGCTATCCGATGAAACACAGCTGGCGATCACAGAACACATATCCTGTGCGAATTTCGTCGTCATTTCAGACACAAATGAACACGGGACCACTATCTTACGGGGACGGGGCGGTGTATGCATACTTCCAACGAAAGACCACCATCCGGGTTTTCTTCGTGCTCACCGGCAGCCGCTTGTTGGTTCCGTCTGCCTCGTATAGGCTTTGCGCTACATGTTTGAGAGCAGTTGGTGCATGAGGTGGGCAACTCGGGCAGCACTTTACTCGTGCAGACATCGCCTACTGTGGAACAAAATATATGCGATGCTTCTTTCACCTGCCCCGGCGACACACTCCCACTGGTCACTGGCGGCCGTGGCTCGGTGCCGACGACAGAGTGAAGCATTTTGGTTATTGCTTCTCCAGTAGGGAAGCACGGACGATGACACCAGATTGATTTTGTTACCACTGGCAGATATTCGCGATTCGGCTCGGAAGCGAGATATCCGCGACGTGCAGGTTCGGAGGCGCTCGGAAGCGCACGGTCGTTTGACGATGTAGGAAACACGTGAGATCCATCAGCCCAACCAGACACACAGATACCGAGGGTCCTGCACCGTCTGTCTACAAGGCCAACGCCGAGCAAAAGCCAACAATTTGCGAAAATATGCAGGACAACTTTCCTGAGCAGGTTTTCTTTCTTTTTTTTTCTTCTTTTCAGATCCCCTCCCCCTGTCTTTTTTTTTCTTTTTCGTTCACAGAATGCTGTTCTCGCTTGTTGTGCTTATGCTGCCCCCAGTTCCACTGGAAGTGCGTTGACTCGAGGTCAGTCCCGAGGCACGGCGATGCCAAAAAAAAAAACAACTGTGGTCCTCGCGTACCTTCAGGAGAGCGTCACAATGGGGGGTATGGGGCAAAAGCCACCGAAGCAGCTGCACCTTGCAGTAACGTGGTAATAAACTCTGAAACGTGTTAGAAAACTCTCCAAGTGGTAAAACTGAATTTTGACATCTTTTTACTACTTGCCTGAGAGGTGATGGTAAACTATGTCATGTACCATCTTTTACTCCTACACAAGGTAGTAATTTTAAACGCAAGAGAGTTTTCAGAGGTCATGAGCCGCAAAAACCCCAAACTCGGATAGTTTTTGCTTACAGCGTACATGAGGCCTCTATATTGCTACAAAGCAGTGGTCATGAGCACACTGTTGCAGACGAATCGACGAAGAAGCCGATTCACCATGCGAGATGCTGGTAGCCTTTGGATGACACATATCCTTGTTAATATTGTAAATATATATACTCGCTTCTGCCTCCTGTGTATTCGTGATTGCTGTGACGAATTGGTAAAAGGGCGAGGCAAAAGAAGCGGTATACAACGGAGCTCCACATTGGTCGTCGAATCGGAGTTGCCGTTTTGGAACACTAAACTGGTCTCACGACCACTTCTCCATCGGCCACAGCAATGCTTGCACCATGCACGGGAACGCCTGTACCGGACAGAGCACAACCCACTTACGAGCTGACGCATCCTAAGTGCCCCAGAATGTTCTACAATACGGACGAAGTTGACGTCGATAGTTAGATAGCCGACTATGGCCGTACCAGTGCGCTCAACCGATATGACATGTCTCTGATGCTGGCCAACGTACTGCTCTAGCTGAAAGGCACGGCGAAGATGTGGTACAAGTAACACGACGAGGACATCGGAAGTCTGTGCACCTGCAAGCAGAAGCTTCGCGACTTACTTCAGTCGGCCGCAAAGAAGCAGTTGTCCATGCGGGCTCAGGCGTCCACAGAGCTGTAT